GCTCATTTAATCCCCACACAAACTTGTGAAGTGGGTGGTATCCTGATATTATTATCACCATCACATCCTCAGCCTAAAATGGGTCAAGTGACTTGTAGGGGCCAAGAGGGGGTAGAACTGGGACTTGAACCCAGGGGTGGGGGCTGCAAATCCTCAGGTCTTCTCACCATTGTCTTCCTCATTGGGGAGAAGAGTAGCTCCTTCCTGAACCAGCCATCAGGGGCTTAAAACTGCAGGAAGCCTGGACCCCTGCATCCAGATTCTCAGCAGGACACGAACCCTCGCTCGCCGGGGGCTGTGTCGGGGTCAGGTCGAGTGAGTGCACACCTCCACAACCAGTTTCCAGGGAGCAAGGAGACAGCGGGAATGGGGAGCAGGTCGAAAGGGCTGAGGCAGGGCTTCCGTACCTTGTTGATGCTGAACTGCCCCTCGAAGCGGCAGCCTGCCCCATTGTTCAGTGGGATCTTCATGGAGTTGTCAATGTGGCCCACTTCATGCCTGCCCATCTCATCCTGAATGTCCAGCCCGACCACTGCAGGAGCCAAAGGGAGACAACAGTCACAAACCCAGAGACACGGGAGGAGGGGGCCAGCCTGTTCTCTCTGGGAGCCTTCATTCATCCATTCCAGGGACAGGCCGGGCTGGGGACCTCCAGGAGCTCATGGTCTGGGGTCCAAAGACTACAGGGGACAGGATAATGACTCTGCTAAATGTGAGGCCGAGGGGAGGCAGGGCATAGTAGGGGTCCTGGGGCCACCCTGGGGGTCTGCCATACTGGTCCTCTGAATCTGGGTTCTGCCTCAGGTACTTAACCTCTGGATGCCTCAGTTTCTTTCTCTGTAAAATGGGGGGTGACCATAATTGAACCTTCCTTGGAAGATTATGAGGATCAAATAGTTCAGGTGTAGAAAATGCTTAGGGTCTGATGGATGTGAGGTGGAAAGTGCTTAATAAATGTTAGCTCTTGGATCTCAGATAGTCTTTTTATTTATTTATTTATTTATTTTGAGACAGAGTCTCGCTCTGTTGCCCAGGCTGGAGTGCAATGGCACGATCTCGGCTCACTGCAACCTCTGCCTCCTGGGTTCAAGCAATTCTCCTGCTTCAGCCTCCCAAGTAGCTGGGATTATAGGTGCCCGCCACCACGCCCGGCTAATTTTTTTGTATTTTTAGTAAAGATGGGGTTTCACCATGTTGGCCAGGCTGGTCTCGCTTCTGACCTCAGGTGATCCACCCGCCTCAGCCTCCCAAAGTGCTGGGATTACAAGTGTGGGCCACCGTTCCCGGCCTTCAGATAGTTATGGGATGAATAGGCTCAGGCCCCCATCCACTCATCCATCATTCACTTATTCATTCATTCACACATTCCTTTACCCATCGCCTATGCTACCGGGCCCTATGATAAGCACCAGGGACGCACAAAGGGAAAAGGCAGGCCCTGCCCTCTGTCACCTCTGTCAACTTCATCCCCAGAGATGGTCCAACTAGCCAGCGGTGAGAGGATTCCTGTGAACTATGGAAATGCAGGAATTTCCCTGGCAGGAGTGCTAAAAAGGAGGTGCCATACAGAGGAAGAACAGCTGGAAGCAATTTTAAAGAGGGCCAACCTTAAAAGGGAAAAATGGGAACAACTCTGTGTTCCTCGATGAGGATGGAGAAGTAAATGAGGACCCATCCATAGAAGGGAACGTGCTGGAGCCATTCAAAATGACCCTCACGGTCCACAGGACACGGGAAATGCCAATGGTATAATGTGAAGTTTAGAGAAAACACAAGCAGGTCCCCATTTCACTCAGCAGTTCCAATGTTGGCAGCCTGTCCTCTAGATACACAGTGTGTGTCCAGATGTGTGTGCAAAGCTGCTCAGGCAACCTCATTTGAAATTGTGGCAATCGGAAGCAATTCAACTGTTTGTCACCGGAGCCAGTGGAACAGCCCTCTTTCCCAGTGCTGTGCAGCAGGTAGGTACAAAAAATTGGCTAAATGCAGGTGCATGGAGCAGGCTCAGAGCAGATCAGTGGCTGAGTTACTAGCACTGGGACCTCAAGCAGGTTACTTAACCTCTGTGCCCCAGTTTCCTCTTCTATCACAGGCTTGTTGTGAGGGTTAAAGAAAAGTAAAACAGGACTGGGCACAGTGGCTCACGTCTGTAATCCCAGCACTTTGGGAGGCCAAGGTGGGAGGATCACTTGAAGCCAGCAGTTCGAGACCAGCCTGGCCAATATGGCGAAACCCCATCTCCACTAAAAACACAAAAAATTGGTGGTGGGTGCCTATAATCCCAGCTACTCTGGAGGCTGAGGCAGGACAATCACTTGAACCCAGGAGGCGGAGGTTGTAGTGAGCTGAGATCGTGCCACTGCACTCCAGCCTGGGCGACAGAGAAAAACTCTATCTCACAAAAAAAAAAAAAGAAAGAAAAGAAAAGTAAAACAGCACTTACTATGTGCTAGACTCTCTTCTAAGTGCCTTTTATGTAAGAACACACCATCTTGGCTGGGCGTGGTGGCTCATGCCTGTAATCCCAGCACTTTGGGGGGCCGAGGCGGGTGGATCACAAGGTCAGAAGTTTGAGACCAACCTGGCCAACATAGTGAAACCCCATCTCTACTAAAAATACAAAAAATTAGTCAGGCATGGTGGCGGGTGCCTGTAATCCCAGGTACTGAGGAGGCTGAGGCAGGAGAATGGCTTGAACCCGGGAGGTGGAGGTTGCAGTGAGCTGAGATCATGCCATCGCACTCTAGCTCCGGCAACAGTGCGAGACTCTGTCTCAAAACAAACAAACAAACAAACAAAACACCATTTAAACACCCCTGTGGGGAAGATAGTATTATCAGTCCCATTGTACACCTAGGGAAACTGAGGCACAGATACCTCACAGCTAGGAAACATCAGAGCTTGGAATGAAATCCAGGTGGATTTGCTTCTGAGCCCACACCCTTCAGCCATTCTGCTAAGACACCTCAAATCCCAATGCATTTCATATAGCCAAAGGATGCAGGGCAGGGCCTGGCCTGGAAGAAAAGAATAAATGGCAGCTGTTATTATTTTACTCATATTATGAGTAATATGAGAACAGCTCCAAGACACTAGCTAGAAAAAAAAACCCAGAGACTCCAGAAGGTTCCCACATGGTAGGGTCCCAATTAATTATGTAAACAACAACAAAAACCCAAACCCAATATGTGTTCACAGACACACACACATGTAGGGGTGGGGAATAGGGACCCACTTTCTAGCAGAGGTGTCCTTTGGGGAAGATGGCATACTGGGACAAGAAGGGAGACAGGGGAGGGGTACTTTTGCTTTTTAAAAAACATATTATTTTTGTATTTTTGAATGTATGTCTATTTTAAGATTAACATGTATTCTTCTATTAGTTGTATAATGAAGAATATTATTTTTAAAAGCAGGATATGAGATCATACATGCAGCACGATCTCAGCTATGTTCAGAAACACAGAGAGGAAGGCCAGCTGGACAGAATGATGTGAAAATGTCACCGACACCGCTGTCAGGTAGCAGAATTACGGGTGATCTCTTTTGCTTCCCTGTGTTTTCGAGAAGTATAATGATGAGCATGCATTTTTTCCTACAATAAAAATGTGATGTTCTTTTAAAGAAAAGCCAGAATGCTGGGCTCTAGCAGGGGTGAGGGGTTTGGGGGTTCAGGTTATAGCCCACAGATCCAGCAGGGCATGGCAGGGCACAGGGTAGAGGTTGCCTGGCCCCTCCTGGAACCACATCTCTTCCCTTTCCTACCCCACTGGTCCCAGTCCTCTGGTCTGACTAAGAATTTCCTTGTTCCAGAGATACAGTCACTCCTGAATGAGAACCTGCCAGATGAATTATTTTTCTAAGTGAAAGAAAAAAAATAACAAAAAATAAGACCGACCTATTTCGACAGGTTCCCTGGCTTGGGGCCCAGCGAGGATTCAAAATTGTGACGTAAATCTCACCCAAAGCAATGACAGGGCTGAGACTCTCCCTATCTCTGGCCGGAGGTGCACCCAGTGTTCTCTCAGCTGTGTCCTTTAACAGGAAGAGGGGGTGGGCAGAGTAGGGCCTGCAGCAGGCTCCGTGCCAGGCTGGGAGGAGGGACGGCTGGAACCCCAGTCCAGGAGAGGGCGCCCAGTCTACTCGCTGACAAGTCTGGGGACCATGCAGTAGATTCTCCCAAGAACCTCAGACAACAGACATTACTAAGCCCATTTTGCAGATGAGGAACCTGAAGCTCAGAGAGTCACCTTAGCCAAGGTCACAGTTTTAGCCAGCAAAGGAGCCAGGATCTGACTCCAAATCAGACTTCAAATGAGTTTTGTTTTGTAGAAGTAATTCACTCTGGGCCGGGCACGGTGGCTCATGCCTGTAATCCTAGCACTTTGGGAGAGTGAGGTGGGTGGATCACCTGAGGTCAGGGGTTCAAGACCAGCCTGGCCAACATGATGAAACTCCATCTCTACTAAAAATACAAAAATTAGCTTGGCATGGTGGTGCGCACCTGTAATCCCAGCTACTCGGGAGGCTGAGGCAGAAGAATTGCTTGAACCCGGGAGGCAGAGGTTGCAGTGAGCCGAGATCATGCCACTGCACTCCAGCCTGGGTGACAGAAGTGAAACTCTGTCTCAAAAAAAAAAAAAAAGATTTCATTCTTTTGGTTAAAACAAAATAGGTGTGAAGTCAAAAAAGGAATCTCCCAGCCCTCCCCTGTCGCAGGTGCTCTAGAGCCCTGTCCTGCACTCTCATGGATGGTGGATCGCTCCGGCTTCTGTAGGTGTCGGCCGCCAGCGACTCAGAGCTGCACTCTTCTCCAGATGAATGCTCTTGACTGACCACTTCCTGCTTGAGATGCTTGGGAGGTGATGTGACCCCTGCCACACACATCACTCTGCAGCCATTACCCAATGACATGGATAATAACAGCCTGGTCCCATTGCTACTGGGTGTGACAAATGCTATGGTGTCATTCACACCCCCCAGTATCCTGTGAGATCAGGCTGAGTTTGGACTTCAGCTGAACACACATCTTTGCTTATCCTCTTACACTGCCCTATCCTGCATCTGTCACTGCCTTACAGCTTCCTCCCTCAACAAGTCACTTCCATGAGACTCAGCCTCTGCTGCGGAGCTGTAACATGACCCTAAGAGACTCCCTGCCTCGCTGCACCCACACAGCTGCTCTCCAGAGGTAACCCCATGAGTCGTGTCTTGTGTTTTTTATGCCAGAAAACCTCCAAGTGCATGCATACTCAATTATATTCTCCTCCAAAAAAGAGTGGGGAGAACCATATGTTGGCTTGGCTTGTCCTGAAGATCTTGCCACTTCTGCACACATGCATTTGCCCTGAGGAGGTGTCCTGCTGGAGGGAGGGACTGTGTGGAGTACTCACACTCGCAGTGCAGATTGGGTAAACTGATGTTCAGACTGACGTCAATCTTGCCCCCGCTGTCCTTGTCTGGGTCATCGACGTAGAGCTCGTTCACACTAGGGGAGAGACAAGTATAGGAACCTTTGTTGAGATGGGGACGAAGATCTCAGCTGCAGGGGACAGCCAGGGATCACTTCACTTGGCAACCACAACTTAGATAACCCAGACTCCATCTGGGCAGAGCCTGCACTTCCTGTGCCCTCAGGCATGGGTCTAGGTTGCACTCTTCAAATGCAGCCTTACCTCTCAAGAGGGGAGGGCTGGACCGGGCGCGGTGGCTCACGCCTGTTATCCCAGCTCTTTGGGAGGCCAAGGTGGGTGGATCACCCGAGGTCAGGAGTTCAAGACCAGCCTGACCAACATGGCGAAACCTCGTCTCTACTAAAAATACAAAATTAGCTGGGCGTGGTGGTGCATGCCTGAAATCCCAGCTACTTGGAAGGCTGAGTATCATGAACCCAGGAGGCTGAGGTTGCAGTGAGTGGAGCCTGGGCAATAAGAGTGAAACTCTATCTCAAAAAAAATAAAATAAAATAAAGAGAGGAGGGCTGGGGATAGCATAGTGGTAAGAGCATATCTTTCAGAGTCAGACAGATTCAAGTTCAAATCCTGGTTCTGGTACTTGCTATGCTCACCTCTGTGAACCCACCTGTTAAGTAGGGATAACACCACCCACTACAAATAAGGTGGTTCGAACACTAAAATGAGAAATAGGGGTCTTCTGAGGGATCAGGGCCTGGCGCCAACAGGCACAGAGGACCTTACAGCCTCCTCTCTTGAGGTCCCCTCCCCCCAGCTGGGAAGCCAGGAATTCCCTGATGCTCATCCCTAGGGGCAGAACCGGTTCTGAGAAGTGACTGGATGGCTGTATTCATTTCCTGGGGCTGCTGTAACACATTATCACAAAGTGAACGGCTTAAACCAACATGCATTCATTGTCTTATGCTTTTGGAGGTCAGAGGTCTAAAATGGGCTGTGTTCCTGGGAGAATGCATTTTCTTGCCTTTTTCAGCTTCTAGGTGCTGCCTAGGCTTGTGGCCCCTCCTCCCAATTCCAAAGCCAGCAGCTTCCCATTTCTCTGACCTCTACCTTTTTTTTTTTTTTCCTTTTTTGGAGACAGAGTCTCGCTCTGTTACCCAGGCTGCAGTGCGGTGGCACGATCTCGACTCACTGCAACCTCCACCTCCCAGGTTCAAGCAATTCTTCTGCCTCAGCCTCCCGAGTAGCTGTGACTACAGGCGCGTGCCACCACTCCAGCTAATTTTTGTATTTTTAGTAGACACGGGGTTTCACCATATTGGCCGGGCTAGTCTTGAACTCCTGACCTCGTGATCCACTGCTCCGCACTTCCCCACCTCACAACCCTCCCAAAGTGCTTCATCTGGCCCACCTGGCTAACCCAGGATCCTCTCCCCATCTTGAGATCCTTAATGTAATCACATACGCAAAGTTTCTTTTGAATACAAGGTAACACGGCCACATGCATCAGGATCAGGGACCTAGACATCACTGGGGGCAGGGAGTCATTATTCTGTTGACCGCATGGGCCATAGTTAGGGGCAGGTGGCTCCACAGCCAGCCATGTCATCTTGCTGTCAGCAGCACAGTGTTGGCATCTGTTAGCAATCCAAATTTGCTCAACAAATACTTTTTGAGTACCTACTACCTGTCAGGAGCCAGAAACAGCAATGAATCAGACAGACGCTGTCTATGCCCTTATCAAGCTTATAGACACAAGAACCAGACATCACTCAGCTCCTAAATAAATATGCTGCCACTCCCAGCGCTGATTACTGCTTTGACAGAAAGCTGCAGGGGGCTGTAAGAGGGACTACAGGGCCACTGGCCTTTGGGGAGAAGGGGCTGGGAAGACTTCTCTGAGGTGTGACTGAGGTCTGGGGGATGCGCAGGCATCATCCTGGCAGCATGTGCAAAGGCCTGGAGGTTGGGGAGGGCACAGTAGGTTTGGGGAACTGAATGAAGGTCACCATGGTTATAGTATAAGGAGGCTGCATGAGGCCTTTAGACTTTTTTTTTTTTTGACAGAGTCTCGCTCTGTCCCTCAGGCTGGAGTACAGTGGCACGATCTCGGCTCACTGCAACCTCCGCCTTCTGGGTTCAAGCGATTCTCCTCCCTCAGCCTCCCAAGTAGCTGGGACTACTGGCTCACGCCACCACGCCTGGCTAATTTTTGTATTTTTAGTAGAGGTGGGGTTTCACCAGGTTGGCCAGGCTGGTCTTGAACTCCTGACCTCAGATGATCTGCCCGCCTCAGCCTCCCAAAGTGCTGGGATTACAGGCATGAGGCACCATGCCCGGCCGAGGCCTTTAGACTTGATAGGAGCACAGCCACGGAGTCAGGCTTGCACTCTCCTGGGCTCCCTCTGGCTGCTGCGAGCAAGACCCACTGGAGGGGCTGCTGTGCAGGAGGGAGACCAGGCGGGGGATGGCGGCGCCTTGGACGGGGTGGGATGGGAATGGAGAGGAGGAGGGCTGCAGGAACCCACCTAGAGCAGGTGGGACTTGCTGATGGATGGGACTGGGGCAGAGGGAGGTGAGGTGAGGGGGGAATGCAGACACACTGCTGCGTTTCTTCCTGGACCCATTCTTTGGGCTGAGAGCCTCTAGAAGAGGAGCAGGACAAGCAGGAGGGAGAGGGACTGAGAGATAGAGGCTGTGCCGAGCCCAGGTGTCTTGGAGGCATCCCCGAGTAGCTGCTGGGATGTCTGATGGCCGCATCTGATTCCCAATAACGCCCCCCACCCAGAGGGAACCAAATCTAAAGGCCTGGCCGGGGGGAGGGGGCAGCTGAAGGGGGAAGTGCTTCAGGTGGCTGGGCTGTGGTTAAACATTTATTAGGCCCCTTGGGTCTCGTCCTTCGGCTGTAAAATAAGAGAACTGCCCTATCTAAGCAACGAAGACTCCAAGAGAGCTTTGTAAATGGCCACATCTTAGGGAAAGAATGAGTAGGACCAAAGCAAAGGAATTTCGTTTTTACTAAGACCACATCTTTGCACCCCTAACACCTGGTGTGATGCTGTTCACAAGGAACGGTGGGCTCTGAAAGACGCCTGGGGCCTGTTTCTCTGTGGGGCCCACAAGGATATTCCCAGAGACAAGCGTGCAACAGATGGGCCCCCACTCGTTAAGTTAGGAGGCTGACTGCACGCATTCATGCCGTCCCGTGGGCGCCTGTGAAATGCCCTGAGCCCCATCTTAAAACCAGGAAACAGGCTCGGAGAGGGTGCGTCCCATCCCTAGGGTCACACGCTAGCAAGTAGCTGAGCTAGAATCTCAACCCGGGCGTTCCACAGCTCAGGCTGCCTCCCAGCCCTCTCCTCAGCATCAGGGTCAAGGAAGAAAATGAAGGAGGGCCCTGGTCCTGGGAAGCCTTAGGATGGGAGAGGGGAGACACGGGCCTGCGCTTGACCTTGCTTGTACTGTTGGCTCCAATCAGAGGCCACCAAGAACGAAGAAGCTGGAGGGAGAGGGGCAAACAGGAGCCCAGGAGGCTACAAGAGACAGGACTAGCTGGATTTCCTAGGCCAACTAAGAATTCCTAAGCCTAGCTGGGGAAGGTGGTCGCACCCACCTTTAAACACGGGGCTTGTAACTCAGCTCACAGCTGACCAATCAGGTAGTAAAGGGAGCTCACTAAAATACCTATTAGGCTAAAAGCAGGAGGTAAAGAAACAGCCAAATCATCTATCGCCTCAGAACACAGGGGGAGGGACAATGACCGGGATATAAACCCAGGCATTCGAGCTGAATCGGGCAACCCCCTTTGAGTCCCCTTCCTTTGTACGGGAGCCCTGCTTTCACTCTATTAAATCCTGCAACTGCACACTCTTCTGGTCCATGTTTGTTCCAGCTCGAGCTGAGCTTTAGCTCGCAGTCCACCACTGTTGATCGCAGCCGTCACAGACCCGCCGCTGACTTCTACCCCTCTGGATCCAGCAGGGTGTCTGCTGCGCTTCTCATCCAGCGAGGCGCCCATTGCCGCTCCCGACCGGGCTAGAGGCTCGCCGTTGTTCCTGCATGGCTAAGTGCCCGGGTTCATCCTAACTGAGCTGAACACTGGTCGCTGGGTTCTACAGTTGTCTTTCGTGATCCACGGCTTCCAATAGAGCTATAACACTCGCCGCATGGCCCAAGGTTCCATTCCTTGGAATCCGTGAGGCCAAGAACCCCAGATCTAAGAACAAAGACCCGCCGGTAACAGGCCCGAGGAGGATCCGCCTCCCTACAGCCAAATGCTCTGCCCTGGCCTTCAGCACCCAATTTCTACCCCAGCTGTAATTTGCAACTCTGGAGAGCTGTTGAGTAATGAAATTGCTGGGTGATTAACACACAGTCAACTAAGGAGAGCCTCGGCTTCCCTTCCCAGCCAGGAAGCCGCCTGGGACTCTTCCTTGAAGCAATTCACCTTTCCCACCTGGCGAGGCTGGGCCTCCACACAGCACTGAGGGATTGTGGGATGATGTCATCCACTGGCAACCCTCTGGAGGTGACCTCAGCCAAGAGCAAAGTGAATCCCAGGTGTGGTGCCAAGGTGAGCTCACCCACAAGGCCCCAGGAAGCCTCTCCCAGGCGTGGGTCCCTGTCTTCCTAACCAGAATAAGCACAGAACAGGCTCCGCAGGACTAGAGGGCCACCCAGAACAAGGGGGCAGCGGTGCTGGGCAGGGACGGCGTGCGGCGCTCTGGCCAGGCTGGTTATGTAAGGCTAGAACTGGCTGCTCCCAGGCTCCTTCCTGGAGGGCCCCCAGGCTGTGGGATAAACACAGTTCAATCACCTGGGCTGCCTGATGAGGTCAATAAAGCCGCCTTCGTGTCCAAGGCAAATGTTCCCAGGCTGCTGGCTTCCTGCCACCCCAGCCAGCGCCACAAGCTCGCCCACAGCCACCCCATGGCAAGGGCCTGCCAAGGCTAACTAACTTCATTGGCTAGGGCTGAACTGATTTTAAAAGGCCAACGGGCTGCCAGAAATCAACCCACCTGGAAGAAAAGGAAATTTTTTTGTGGATTCATTGTGGTTTGAGGACTTCCATGGGCCTGACTCCCCTGTCACCAGTGTGGGCAGTGGGAAGGCCAATGGAGGCAGTGGCAGACAGGTGTGGGCTCACCTCCTGGCTCTGCCACTTAGAAGCTGGGAGACCCAGGACACACTGCTTCACCTCTCCGAGCCTCAGTTTCCTCATCTGTAAAATTGGAAAAGCTTTCAATCAGTTTGAAAATAGGCAAAATTAATCTATGGCAACGGAAGTCAGAATAATAGTGGTGGAAGCTCTGACTGGGAATGGCTCAAGGGACCCTTCTTTGGTGATAGAATGTATTATGTCTTCATCTGAGTGATGGTTACATGTGTAAACACAGGTGAAATTCATTAGGCCTCTACCTTAAGATTTGTGCACTTTGTTGTATGTAAGTTACAAACACCTCACTAAAATAAGAAAATAAGAAAGGAAAGGAAGGAGGGAGAGAGGAAAGGAGAGAGAAAGAGGAAAATAAGGATAAAGATTCCATCTACTTCACAGGGCTGCTGGAGGACTGCCAGGTCAAGCTGTTGGCTGCCCCAGGGCAGGAAAATGAGTGAGTGAATGAGTGTGTGTATGTTAGTGAGTGTGAGTCAGTGAGTGAGTGTGCATGTGTGAGACTCAGCTCTCTCTCGAGGGCTGATTCCAGACCCTTCTTGGTAAAGAAAATACAGTATCGCGAGGGAAGCCCAAGCTACCAGGGTTCAAATCCTGGCTCTGCCACCTCTTGGCTGATTGACTTGGGCAAGGGGCTTCCCGTCCATCAGTTTCCCCAGATGTAAAATGGGGACAATCATAGTATCTATGCCATGGGGTTGCTGAGAAGATCAAATGAGAACAAGCGCAATGCTAAGTGTGGTCTTAGTAAACAGTAAGTGCTCAATAAATGTCTACTGTTTTATCCTTATTAATATTGATGCTCAATGAGTTGATCCAGTGTTTAACAAGGGTACTGTTTTCCCTTCACATCGACGAAACCAGGCTCAGAGGAGCACAGATGGCTGGCCAAGATCACAGGACCAGGAGGAGGCAGAGGCAGGATCCCAGCCCAAGGACAGGGGGCCCAGAGCCCACGCTCTTTCCAAGGCATGGCACTGCCTGGATGGGATGGGAATCGGTGAAAAACCGAGGTGCCGGTGGCCCTCAAGTGGACTTGTGATGCAGGCATCCTAGTCCTTTTTCATAATCTTCAGGTGTGCCCCCCACCCCACCGCCGTGGCCCAGGTGCCTGCAGGGTACAGGAGTGCTTAGGGGTCCAGTTGCGTCTGTCCCACAAGCCTCCCCCACCCCCATCAACACCCCCAGGACGGGGGCTCCACGAGCCTCAGCACAGAGTTTGTGCTCACAGACTTCGGTGGAATGAGCCTGAGTGGAGGACAGAGTCCTCAGCAGCACTCCCAGGACGCAGGGAAGGCGCGCGCTGGTGGAGCCGTCGGGAGCACATTCCAGGTGGGGGACGCCAGATGGCGTCATGAAGTCAGGCCCAGTGTGGTGAGTGCGTGGGAGGGTGGGGTGTGGGTGGGCAGTGGCCTTGTAGGGAGAGGTACGCAAGGGCCCGGGGAGTGTAAATGGAATGTGGTGGAGGGCCTTGAAATTCTAGTCTGAGGCATGAGTTCGATGACATCTATACAAAACAATTTTATTTGCTTTTAGAAGAGCCCTTAAATAGTTCAGATTCCTGCCTGAAGTATCTGACCTCCATACTTCAAAATTTGATCAAATGGAAACTTAGGCGGCAGTGAGGCCCGCCGCAAGGGCTTGGGGTGGGGTGGAGGGAGGGGCGGAGATTCTGCAAGCACGCGCTCCGGGACCTTGAGTTTCAAATCCTGACTCGTCCAGGTGGAAGTATGTGCATCTAGTACCCACCATGTGGACGTCTAAAATACATCCCTTGGCAGCCAGCCACCAGGTTCTGCCCACCCCTGCTCCAAAGCCAAAGTCCCAGCACCCTCGGCCCCTCTGACTTGGGTCATCCCCCAGCTCCCAGCAGGGCTTTGGCCTCTGGGTGGCCCCACACCAAACCCATCTTCACAAGAGGTGAGCTGCCCGAGACATAAACCTGTCACTCCACACTCAGACGCCCTCAGGCCTCCTATTGCTAAGAGCAATGTCCTTCATGCTCCTTAATGGGACGCCTGGGGACCTCTACCCAGCCTGGCTCACAACCCAGGCTCAAGGCAGGCAACCTGGAGACTTCCAGCTCCTCCTCCTGGTTAAGCTGCTGCTCCCCACTCCGGGCCTCCTACGGGGAGCCTGTGAGAACATGATTCCAGGTGACCTCCAAGTTCCCACCTCCCAGGCTTCCATCTGCCTGCTTGGCCACCTCACCCTAGAAGCGTGCATCCGAGTCCTCCAGTCAACTATTCTAACCAAAATGCAGTGGCTCCCATGAGCCTGGGGCCCTGAAATGCTCGGGGCAGGGAAGTGGGGTAAAGCAGAGGAGAGGTGCTGAGTCTGGGCTTTAGCAGCACAGACCTGGGTTTGACTCCAGTTTCACCACTTACTGCTTCATGTGGTTTTGGCCACCTGGTGCCTCAGTTTCCCCAGATGTAACATGGGGTGAACAGTAGTAGTTACCTCGAGGGGTCCTGCGATGATCAAGGAGATGACCATCATGAAGTGCTGACCTGCTGGGCGCAGTATGCACGCCTGTAATCCCAGCACCTCATGAGGTTAACAATTATTAAGAGCAGTCAGAGACTGGGCAGTCAGACGCTGGAACATTCGGTGGCCAGGTTGCCTGAGGAGGGGCCTGCTCCCTGGAAACACAGAGTTTCAGAACACTCTGTGGAGCCTCTTTCCCAGGGATAATTACCGGCCTGTCCAAAGCCAGGTTGGAGCCCAACCACCCAAACAAATGTGCCTCCCCCTCCCCCGCAACCGGGCCCAGGCCAGAATAAGCGTCTTATGTCACTGATAACCACAGGCTGGGGCTGGAGCCATGTTGATCCAACCAACGGTGACCTCATTTCCTTAAGTTACAATCTCACGGTGACAGGAGGGGGCACTGACCCCACTGTAGCCACAAACCTGCCACAGAGGGCCAGCCACTCAGAAAAAGAGAACTGTGACCTTCGGTTCTTCCCAAACCTGCAGGGCTTCCTGGGGTCACAAGCTTCTGACAACTGGAAGACCCCAAAGATGCGATGCTTTCTCCTCTCGATTGCTTAGTAAGTCCTAGGGCTCCCCCTGCGGAGGCCCTTCGGGCAATTCCTGCACCTTGGTAAGGAGGCAGCAGGGAGGGAAGGGGGCACTGGGGTCACTGTACCTTCATAGCTGGAGCCTCTGGCCTCAGCTCCGGACAGACCTCTCTGTTCACCCCTGCCTCCCTCCCTCTCTCCAGCCGCTGACTTAGCACAGGGTTAGACTTCAGGCAAATGCTCAAAAAATGTCCCCTCATGTTTTTGTTTTGTTTTGCTTTGTTTTTGTTTGAGACATGGTCTCACTCTGTCTCCCAGGCTGGAATGCCATGGCGCCATCACGGCTCACTGCAGCCTGGATCTCCTGAGCTCAAGTGATCCTCCCACCTCAGCCTCCCAAGTAGCTGAGCCTACAGGTGTGTGCATCCATGGCCAGCTAATGTTTTTAAAATTTTTCTGCAGAGACAGGATCTCACTGTGTTGTCCAGGCTGGTCTTGAACTCCTGGGCTCAAGTGATCCTCTGGCTTTGGCTTTTCAAAGTGCTGGGATTACAGGTGTGAGTCACTGCACCTGGCCCCCTTCCTCCCCTCATCATCTAAGCTTTGTACCTCTCCAGGAACTCGGTGGGGTCAGAGCATCCAGGCTGCCCCCGGGAGACAGGGAGAGGAAGTCCTGGCGCAGGGGAATGGGGAGCAGCGGGAACACACAGTGCCTTCAGAAAGCAGCAGCCCTGCCCTGGGGAGACTGCATCAGTTGTCTGGGCTTGCTGGAAGGGCCCTTCCCCAGTGCTCCCAGGCATTGTGCAGGTGGGGCCGCACCTGCTCGAGCCTCAAGCTGTGACATCAAAACTCACTTGAAGGCGGCCCATTGCCTCAGTGCCCCACCTCATGTGGGATGAGCTAGGAATGCCGCCCCACACGCTGTCAGCAGCAGACAAGAGAGGCATCTTCTTAACTCAAAGTGGAAGAGAGGACGAGGAGTTCACATTCACTGAGTACTTACATGCCTAGTGCGGAGCGGCCTTAAAACCTCTTTAAAGTTAGACAGGAACGATGTAGGAAATGAATAAATGCACAAAGAGCTACAGACCTTGTGATATTAAAGTATATCCGGCACTATATTAAGTAGCTTTCAGCTAAATAATCTTGTTTGAGCCTCATAAAATATCCTGTGCCTGCAGCTGTCTCATTTTCTACCTGCTGCCCTGCTTTAGTCCTTGTCTTTGGAGGACTTGCCCCGATTGATACAGTCTAGTCTTGTTTGCTTGCTGACTGTGTCCTCCACTGGCATTTTCAGCTCCTCCACGTGTGAAGCCACAGAGCAGTGAGTGAGCAGATCCAGCCCTGGGCTCCACGAGCTCATCATCAAGAAGTGAGTCCCAGGCCGGGCGCAGCGGCTCACGCCTGTAATCCCAGCACTTTGGGAGGCTGAGGCAGGTGGATCATTTGAGGTCAGGAGTTCGAGACCAGCCTGACCAACATGGTGAAACCCTGTCGCTACTAAAAATACAAAAATTAGCTGGACATGGTGGCACTCACCTGTAATTCCAGCTACTCAGGAGGCTAAAGTATGAGAATCTCTTGAACCCGGGAGGCAGAGGTTGCAATGAGCTGAGATCATGCCACCGCACTACAGCCTGGGTGACAGAGCGAGACTCTGTCTCCAAAAAAAAAAAAAAAAAAGAAGTGAGTCCCAATTCTACCTGGCCTGTCTCCGTCCTACCTGCTCCACCTCCTACCCTGTCTGCTTGCTCACTTTGTCCTGGCTGATTGGCCTTCTTCCTGCCTTTTACATGCACCAGGTAATCCCTGCCTCAGGCCCTTTGCACCTGCTGGTGCTCCTACCCAAAACACATAAAGCCACCTGCCGGTGCCTGGTCTCAGCAGATGACACATGTGTGCCTCTGTCACCTTGCTCAGAACATGACAGGCCTGCCAAGCCAAGCAGGTCCCCTCCTAGAGAGTGGGGTACAGCCTGCAGAGGCCACTGGGTACCTAGCATACAACAGGTACCTCATAACATCAGCAAGTCTCAACCCCTTGCTGCTCTCCCTGCTTCGACCTCTGATTTGTGATAGGGTGATCGTGAGATGTCCAGTGACCAAGCTGTACAGAGGGGAAGATGCTTGATTTGGATGTGGTCATCTCCCATTGGAGGCCTGGGGCGAATAAAACCCCTTCTTCGAATGCTGCGTGGCCACACATCATGTCTTGGGAAGCAGACCAACCTCTCCCAGAGCTGGAGGGGAGCTCAGACTCTGGTCTACTCTCGTTCATTTGGCTACCAATACTGAGACCCAGAGGGGTTTGGCAGCTTGCCTAGGGTCACAGAGCAAAGTAGTAATTAAGCAGAGACCTGGCCCTGGGTCTCCCAATGCCTTAACCAGTACTCTTCCCACCATTGTAAAAGGTCCCCTGGGCTTTGGTGCCATCAGGGTTAAAACAGGATCAGAGTGACCAGGAAAGGCAAACTCTCCCATACCAGGGGAGGGCTGAAAGGTATACCCAGAAACAAGGCGAGACCAGCCCTCCCATCTCATAGGCCTCTCAGTGTGCTGGTCAAACACACGTGGGCTCAGGAGACAGGGAGGGCTGGGAGCCACCTCCTAACTATATGGCTGTGGGCAGGTCCTTCCACCTCTCTGGGCCTCAATTTCCTCTTTGTAAAGAGGGGGCAGCTCCCTCCTGGGGCTGTTTGAGAACTAAAGGTGGCAATGCTTGTATAATGAGAGTTGTCTTGGGCTAAGCAGCTATGTATTTAGTTTCC